GATGGCGTCTCGGCGTGTCATGGTGTGGACAGTCTATGAGAAGGTGACATAGGTCTTCATCTATAAATCCACATTCGCATTCAGGAGTTTCAGCTCTGCCAATTCTGTGAAAAAAATGTTTTGTGTATGCGGTGCCTAGCCTCAACCGGAATATTGAGCTGTGGTATAATAGATGCTGATGTTGAAGCCGTTGTAATACTTGAGCCATCAGTGTAAACGTGTATGTATCCTGGATACCGCATGTGTATCTTATAAAGCGCTAGTTGTTGAGCAGCTTGGATGTACATGTCTCTCTTTCTGATAACGCCATCTACTGAAAATTCAATGCTTGGTATTGTAAGCAGCCAAGGAGGATAGTCCACTTCGGAGCTCCAAAATTAATTTCTTGGTAATGTATATAAATTACTGTGTATTTCTTGATGAACATTGCTTTTGTCTTTTTGTAAAATCTTCAGTGCCAATAGGTGGTCTTTGTGTTGCGTCTATAAGCGAAAAAATGGCGGCATGTTTCGATTGTTCTCATAACTGGAAAGGGTGGTTACCGAGTCTCTGCCATGACAACGCTGCTGGACGTCACTCATGGAACACCTAGGCAGACGCGCAGTTCTCTAGCTAATAGTCTTTGAAGTCGCTCCTCTGAAGTGCGGGGAAGGCCGTGTAAGAGTGCTGTAGAATATGCAATTTTGTCGCATTAAAGCATTGTGATCAGCGAGCATGGATAATACAGATTCGCCTCATGATGTCCTGGCGATTCTGCGGAGTATGTTCACTAGCAAATTCACCTAGTTTTCGATTTCCTTTATGCGAAGTGCCTATGACAGCTGCATATCAAGTATTACTCCGAGAAACCGATGCTGTGTCACAGTCATCAGTGGTTCTCCTTCTAAATAGAGGTTGAAGTTTTTTAACTTTTTGCGGGTGATGGGCAATACAAGCTGTCTTTGCGTGCGACAAAACCATTCCTCTTTCTTTTAAAAAGTGGTTAATAATATGTATGCCGTCTTGCAAAGCAATTTGAATCAACCAAACGTCCATGCCAGATGCCCAAGCGCACACATAATCTGCATATAAGGAGTATTTCAACCTAGAAGGCAGTCTTTTTGCTAAATCAGCCATAACACAGTTGAAAAGAAAAGGGCTGAGTACGCGTCCTTGTGGCACTCCCTGTCTGACGTCGTGTTCTGCACTTTTTCCTTCGCTCGTCTGAATGAATATTTTACGACCCGATAAAAATTTGGATACCCACCGCAAAGACCTGCCGGACAGTCCGAGTTCCAACATACTCAGCAGAACATGAGTGTGACTGACTGTGTCAGATGCCCTTGTGATGTCCAAGAACACTGCGACCGTCAAACTACCACAGGCGCGTTCATGCTCCACATACGTTACTAAGTCCAGTATTGCATCCATTGTGCATCTCTGTTTCCTAAAACCTGTCAAGTAGTTGGAGAATACACCAGTTCTGTTGCACCACCATTGAAGTCGCGCATCAATCATTTTTTTTCCATTACCTTACATTGACAGCTTGTCATACTAATTGGGCGGAAGGATTCAAGGCTCAAGGGCGCCTTAGCCGGTTGTAAGATCGGAATCATGCGAGCAAACTTCCAAGACTCGGGTACAATTTCTTGCGTCCATTGATTATTGTAAATATCTAAGAAAATGGTTGTGCCCATTGGCCCAAGGTTCTTTAGCATATTGTACGTAATGTCATCCGGTCCAGAGGCCGATTTTTGACGACATGATGCTACAGCACATTGCAGCTCACTTAACGTAAATACAGGGTCTAGTTGAGGGTACTCGGCCCAATAGCAAGCATTAATTTTCTGGCTGGCTAACGCGACAGAATTATCAAATAAGGCACATTGTGATGCGACGGGCCAACTGATAAGTTGACAAAGTTCATCTGCTACCACAGCTTCCGGTTTGTCCAAGGCTACAGCAAGAGCACAAAATGGGAAACTCTGTGATACATGGCCACTAAATGCTCGACATACAAGCCGAATTCTTGGAACAGGTGTGTGGGGAGAGAACGTGTCACAAAAATCACGCTAGTGTCGTTTACCTAAATTTTCTAGTCGTCTGTGCATTACACTGCGGATATTCTGTGCATTTTCGTATGCTTCTAAACTTCCACTGCGTCGATATGCCCTTTCGAAACGTCATCTGATGGCTCTTAGACGTTCATACTCTCTGTCAACTGCAGCATAGTCTTTTGTAATCGGGACTTCTTTTTGTACATTTATTTACATTATTCTGCAAAAATTCAGTAATGCTTTCAACTGCAGAAATGTTGTAGGCCCGTGTGCTCAGATAGGGTGCACGTTAAAGATCCCCAGATGGTCGAAATTTCCGGAGCCCTCCACTACGGCGTCTCTCATCCTCATATGGTGGTTTTGGGACGTTAAACCCCACATATCAATCAATCAATGCTTTCAACTGTCGTAAGTTCAGTATTTTGGCTTGTTAGGTGGTACCGAAATGCTTTCCAGTTCGTCAGTTTGCTGTAGCGCTTGATGTAGTCCTTTCGCAAGTAGGGGTGATTTATAAGAATGGGAAAATGGTCACTCCCATGTGTTTCTACATCCGTTGTCCATTCCACACCATTCACTAGATCTTGGGAACACATGGTAATATCTATGCAACTCGAGTAATTATGTCAACGGACAAAAGTTGGCGAGCCATCATTTAAAATAGTCAAATATCATGTGTCTGCGGCGCACTCAACAACGTTCCCACGAGCATCACATCGATCACTACCCCAGATTATGTTGAACGCATTAAAGTCTCCACATACATATGTATATGAATTAGAAATATTGAAGGTATTTGTTAGCTTCTCCACCAAATTATGGCTTGAAGGTTGTAGGTAAAGATTAATCACTGTTACGCACTGCTCACTAAAAGATACTTTACAAGTGACGAATTCCGGGAAGTCCGAATCACTTGAGTGAACTTGGTGAGAAGGTGTGTACGTCCATAGTGTGTACCTCAGCTGTTTCACCGGCTTCTTGCGATTCATTTGTCGAATCCGCAAAGCTGCTTGTTCGTAAGTCCTCATTGCCATGGGATGGTTGCGTTAGTTATTTATGCAAAAGTCTACGAAAACCTTCGACAATTTATTGAGGCTACGTGATGTCCGATTTCTCTTCCTCTCCTTGCCTACTTACACTGTTTTTTATCATCTTTGCCACCATTCGGTTACGGCTTCTTTATCTGTGGGTACACTATACGCTCAACGTCACGATAAGCTAATTTTTTTTTTCACAAATAATTTAAGCCTGACAGTTCTTTTTTCGTGAAAGCAGGCTGCAGCCATCAAAAGCGACCTGTCTGACCTCACAGAGCATTATCAACAGCTGAGATGTCTTATGACCACTTCAGTCATGTCATTTTTATGTGGGTGGGGCGTACAATGTAACAGCATAATTGGTGATCTTGGACACGTTAGAGGGGCTACAAAGTGGGCTACCCTGTCATTCTTTGTTCAGCGTTATGATGATCAGCCTCGGCAAGTAGCACTGGCGTACGCAAATGAATAAATGCGATCGCAATGCACGGCGTACAGGACATGTGAAAGTGCCTTAGCGTTTCCGCTCGAACAAATGCGGGATACTTGATTAGCCGCTTAAAGTCCGAGCAAGAGGTCACCTGCTTCGTCAATTCAGGAGTTAGCGCACGTGACGCTCGCCCCATGGTTAGCTTTAAGCGACATCTCTTTAGAGCGCTTTTCAGGAAATGATACTTGCACCTGCTGGAAATTTAAGTTCCACCTTGACCGTGTTCAGAAGTCACACAAAATCTTATTCCTTTGTCATAGGAATGGCCGACAACGCTCTCTGCGATGCCTGTCATTGCGAAGAGACGCTACACCACATCCTGTGCGGACTGTCCCTCTGTATAACATCCAGAGACAGTCACTGGCGTCCAGTTTTTGCGCGCATCGACAACAGCCGAATGTCTGTGGACACTATTCTCTCAAGTGCCCGAGAATAGACATTGCAACAGAAGTCGACAAAAGCTCTGTTGAAATTTCTACGCGACATGGACTTGAACAAGCGGCTGTAACAGCAATGTCACACACCACCAAAGACAAGACTGGACGGTGACTGAGTGTGCGTGCGTGTGCTGCCGAATGTGCTGTGTTTATCTCTCTTCCCTCTCTGCTCTCTATCTTTCATCTCCCCTATCCCCCTTCCATGCGTAGAGTAGCAAACCGACTGCCTATAGGCTGGTTAACCTTCCTGCCATTCTTTTCCTCCTATTTTCCTTCCTCCTCCTCTTTCACAGGAAGATGGAAGCTGGATCAGGTGAAACATACCTGAACACGGGGAGTCACTCCAGCTGACGTGGCGACAAGTGGTCTGGTTTTCTTTAAGACAGCAATTAATAACTTTGCCTGTCTATGTGTATGCTTCTTACACGCTCCTAAAATCAAAGCAGAAGAAAAAGAAGCATGCCCATACATGGGCTAAGGCAGTCCATTGTCTCATATTGAAGATTATGTAGCTCCCATACTTTACTTTAACTGTATTTCGAGCGAAACACCTGACTATACTATACAGACCAGATTATTTCTACTCTCGCCCCCACGTTTAGGGTAACTTTGCATGATTTTGTCGGCAGATATAATCAGACGGCGCGGCCAAAGCTAGGGACTGCAGATTTATTTACGTCATACGAGCTAACGCTTTCCGCCAGCATTCCATAAGGGTAGGTAGCGCAATATCGTGATCGTCCTTTCCAAGTCATGAACAGCCCTAACCGAAGATGGCTGCCCCCTATGAGCAATGAATATTCTGGCCTTCAGCAGGTGTGATTTCAAGTGGGAGCTAAAATATTTAAAACAAAATTTAGGTAATACGCTACAGCGATTGAGAATAGAATGTAGTAAAGCTGCTGCTAAAGTGCGCGGAAACATGCCTCATTAGGCAAATGATTCCTGCTACAGAAAAAGAACTAAGAAAAGTAACGCAGGGTATATGACTTGGTGAACTTACCTTGAACAAACACGATCAGCACTGCTGCGACAGCGACAACCACAACGGAGAGGGCACGCGCTTTCATTTCAGTCAGAAGTGTTGCAGCATTCAAGTTCTTCGCAGTCTTTCAGTTCCGCTCACAAGGAATCTCAATAGGTGGGCTGTTCGGGTTCACTATGAGTCGATGTCAGAGTTCCAGGCCCATAGATCAAGGCGTTTTGCTAGAAACAAGCAATGCCAACGTGCTTTCGAAGCTCCGGCTGGAACGATGAGGCAGAAGTTTCCACCGGCGTCTGTCCGTGAGGTTAAGGAAGTATAGGGGCACAATCCTAAAGAAGTACTGAGTATTACGAAAATTAAACGGTTCTATTTGGTCAGCATGTGTTGAATTGCGTTTCCTACATACCTGCAGAACGCACAACGTGTGAATAACTCAGCACATATTTAAAGTTTTTGGCCTTCCGAAGAAATAAAGCCCTCTTTGTGAAAACTTGCATTCGAAAAATCTTTACATAGACGCACAAATTTGATGGCCAAAAGACGTGTAATCCCACAGTATTCCACAAAAGCCTAAAAAGGCGATCTGCAAAGATTGCTGTATTAACTGCGGCAATCCTCTAAGTGAACACCGTAAAAGCTGCGCAAGTCACCCTTAGTACTTCACGCGAACACGCAACGGCGAACTGCCTTATTGAAAGTTACTTCCACTCAGAATCCGTAACGCAATTCACCCGACACTGGCGGTGCCAAGTAATCACTGTCTCTACGAGCCATCTCCGCAAGCGCACTGCCGAAACTGCGCGCGTAAGCAGCCCTAAAGATGCGCAGAAGTTTGACAAGTGGATAAATGGAAAATAAAAACAGAGGCGTCAGAACGTCAGTTCAAGGAGTGCCCAGGGAAGCAGATCACGAACGCGAGCGTGGGCACGTTGCGCGCGCTCGCACACACTGCACTTGCCTCGCGGGCCGCGTCCGCTTCACTCCTTGACAGCGCCGCAAGCGCGACCAAACTACCGCGCGGCCCGTGCCGACTCAACTTCGCCGCTCGCCCATGCTACTGCCACGTGGTACGCTTTGTTTCTTCTTTTTTATGACTCCGGCCCCTCGCCGCGCATCGGTTCTCCCGCCCCATGCCTCGTCTTTCCTCCCTTCTCGGCCGACACGCGGCCCGAACCCGAGGCTAAGACCCCTTCCCTCATCTGCCTCCTCTCAGCTCACCTCACAAGGAGTGTAAGACACGGGCGCATGCGCAAGACGCCAAGCCACGCCCTACCGCGTGCGCGCGCGCCGGGCCCACGCGCGCTTCGGTTTTGGGCAGCGTGGCGGCAGGCACCGGACGGGAGGGCTACCGATATGGCACGAGACGCGGCGGTGATGTTAAAAGCGCTAATGGTCCTTGTATGTATTTCTCGGCGCATTTATTAGCTCTGACGGACGGCCGATGTGCGCGTTTTTCAGCCGTAACGACTTCGGTGGCGGGCAGGAAGCTTGGCCCACGGCGTAACGCGGCGCCCCGTCGGCGAGAAATGGCAGGACACGTTCGCGCGTTTGTTCGCCGTGTGTGCGTGTTTGTGCTTGCGCGAGAACGCCAACTGTCGCGCGCCGCTGGTGGTACGTGGCGAGAGGACAACAGCGGCACTCAACATGCTCGCATGCGCTTGACATTTGCTTCTTTTTTTTATTCCTTCATGCTTCGATAAAGTGATAAAGGCGGTGATAAACGTCGCATAAAACGAAAAGTATCACTAAAGGGCAACAGAGCAAGGAACAACAGAATAAATCATATTTATCTGCGGACATTGTAACTGACGTGGCTACCAAAGCGCTTACAGAAAAGAAAAATAAAACACTGCGCCCGATGGTAGCACAAATACACAGGGCATGTCAATTAGGTGGCCCTAAAGAGTGCGTGGTTGAGTGGCTTGCAAAAAAACAAAAAACATGCAGTGCATGATGAGTTTTTCTACAATGCGACACGCCATAATTTCTATTATGGCGAATGGCATTTGTTAGCTTAGTATTGTGTGTCGGTGTAACTCTTTGTTCTTAAAAGGAGTTTTTTTTTCTTCGGGTTTGGAAGCTGATGGTTCGGATACGCTGCACATGTTGTTGGGCAAACGTGCATTGTCCCTTCGGGACCCACACCTTTCCGTTATTTGTTAGTTTCCATACTACACCAACACATCCTTGATTTAAGTGATAACCTGGAAATGTGCACTTAATTGCCCGGGAGCCTCTCATGCTGCACGTATGACTGAGACGAGAACACAATAACTGTGTCTGCACACGTATGTAATATGCATAGTTCTATACAGATGGAACAATTGTGCGTTATGATCAGAAACATTATTTAAGAGCACTCCTAAGGAACTCTAAGTGAAAGACTGTCACACAGGTCCCGTTAATTAGGGAGGCGATCGCCGGGCTAATTCCAAGGGCCGAAGTATCGGCCCCCCGAACCGCACCACGAAAGCGTGGACAATTTCGAAGTGGTCCTTTTTGGCGCACCAGCGGACGCCGGCTGTGGCCCAAAGAACAAGTCAGAGCCTAGAGTTGACAACCAAACAAAATTATATTCTCAGTAATGGCATATCGAAAACAAAACACAAGTATGCACGCTCCACAATAGTTGAGTACAATATGTCACCAATCAAACCACGTACTACACAGTACAATCAGCCACACTCGAAACAACGGACACAGACAACAATACGCACTACAATGCAGTCGCATGCATCAAACAACCAAGACACTTGAAGACTAAAAAGTTCGAAAACTTATTCAGTCCAAAGAACTTGGAACAAAAGTATGGATGATACTCTTCCGAGAATCACTCACTCAAAGTCCAGCGTTGTTGTCATTCCGCTGCCCCTGAAGTTTCTCTTCCAGGAAACCTCGCCGAAGTTTCTCTTCCAGGAAACCTCGCGTCTTCAAATGGCCACTCTCCAAGCTTCAAACTTCTTCGCCGGAAACACGTCGGCTTCACACACGCAGCCGTTGCCACGCGTCTTCGCTCGATAGCGGTAGACACACGCTCTTGCCTGTAGCTCGAGCTTTCACCCCTCAGGTGGAAATCCTCTTCTTCTCCCGCTTTGTCCCTACGGACAAAACCTTCGCCGACTACACGGCGGAATCCCTACGCGCTCTGGCGCTAACTTCCGTCTTCTCCTGATCTCTCATCTTGGCTGCTCGATTAAATACCCTCCGCGTGAGATTCCAGAAAGTTCCCGTCATTTCGTCGGCGCGATACACAGTGAAGGCTGGGGGAGAGGGCGAGACGGTTCGAATGCTGTCCGCGACAGATGACTCAACCCGGCTTCAACCACGCCCCTTTCCATCTAGAAAATTCCAGTGCTTGCTCGGCCGCCGTGGTGGGGTGAGGAGGTTCGTCGGCATATCTACGCTTCCGAGGGAGGGAGTCGCGCCCGGGGAGTCTGGATGCTTGTTTTCTTTTTTTTTATCGTTGACCTCGCGGCGTCACTCCGGCGTTTCATCGCGAGGAGTTGGCGGCGCGCTCTTTTTGAGCGCTCGTTGTGAGACAAAGACTTTATTCAAACCTCTCAAAAGTTCTAAACACAATGACTTGCTGGAAGACATTCAGTTTTTTGCCACCTCGGTTTGAAGTTTGAAGTTACTGCTTTGTGTTCATCGCCCCTTTCTCACTTTTTTTTGCTCTTACCTACATAATACACCGGCACTCAGTCCTCCATACAGAGTAGGCAATCAGAATCGCATCTTGTTAACTTGGCTACCATTTCATACATTCTCTCGATTTGTATGCAATCTCTAAACACTAAAACATAGAATACAGAGTAAGCTCGCTGTACCAGGCACCTTTAGGCTTCGCCATAATCAACTTCAAAGGGAATTATGATATTCTACCGTTTACATAAGAATCAATAGGAGCAAAACAAACAGGGGACCGTTTGCTTACAATGTACCAAGGTGGCATTGAGGGGTTTCATCCATCATTGGCGATAGCATTAATCCACCACTGCCCTCTTGCGCGGCGTCTCTCCGTCTCAATCAAAATTGACATCCGCCCTGCAAGATATCTTCACCACATACAGATGGTTGCTGCGGCAAAGCACGCTTTTTGTAATTGTAAAGTCAGAGCGTGTTTTTTTTTTTGTTTTGTTTTATGGCGGGCGGACTTCGTTTTGTTATGATAGCAAATATATGAACACTCTCGGTTGGATTTTTTTAGCTGGCGTCATCGTCAATATATATATATATATATATATATATATATATATATATATATATATAATGTAAATAAGAACAAAGAAAAGTTGGTGAAAAATAACCAGCCGTGAGCAGGAGTCGAACCTACGACCTTCGAATAACGTGTTCGGTGCTCGAACGCGTTATTCGAAGGTCGTAGGTTTGATTCCTTCTCACGGCTGGTTATTTTTTCACCCACCTTTCTTTCTTCTTATTTATATTCCATTGGTTCTAATAACTTCCTCTATACATTCCTTGGCATTACTGTCTGTTAGATCTCGTTATTATTGTGTCAAAACACGGAAAAAACGAGCCCTTAGGTATACACTTCTTTCCCTTATTCATTAACGAGGGTCTCGTACTGGCAGACTTGGTGTCATTAGGTTGTATACGAGGGACTATTGATCAGCTGCCCGCTCGTAATAAGTTCACGTGCGCGTGACGCCACACATGCGCATAAACGGGTGTTCCACACTCGCCGCTTGGATACAGATGGCGCTGATTGACATTCCCACGTCTAAATTCACATATAAACAGCCAAAAAAGTATATATATTGTAACGGGGTTTATTTGCAGCGCGGAACGCAGAAAGCGAAACAGTCAGCAGCGTCCGGCCAAGTGCAGCAAGCACGAGCTTATACTGATGGCGATGCCCCTGATGCGCCGAGAAATGCCGCTGAAGCTCCTCTTCTTCACTACAATCGCCCTCCGCACAAAAAGACGCCATCCTGGCAAATTAGGGAGAACAAACGACTAATGGGTCGTAATATGGCTTGAGACGAGAGACGTGGACAGTGTCGCGGCCGCGGTAGCGTAGGTCTGTGGATGGGATGATGGGCTCCACGATATAGTTGACGAGTGACGTTTGCTCTACAACACGGTATGGCCCGATGTATTTAGGAAGAAGTTTTGCGGAGCGGCCAGGCGCGGTAGCAGGTGCCCGAAGCCATACCAACGAACCATGTGGAAAGTTTGGAGCCGAACGGTCCCCAGTCTGGCGGGATTGCTGCTGCCACTGGTCCTCGGTAGAAAATGAGCGAGCAAGCTGGCGGCATTCTTCAGCATGTCGGGCAGCTTCGG